GAGAATGGCAAGTGCTGGAATTTGGCATTCATGAAGCAAACATGACTCTCTCTTCTAGGAGCACCTGATCACAGTGAGATCCCTTTCAGCTGACGTCTCAAGACACCACCCCGAAATAACCCCCATCCATCCTAATTCCCCTTCCTGGATAATTGAGGGGATCACACCTCTCCAGGAAACCTCTGCCTTTTGGAAGTCCTACAGATGAGCCACAGGGGCAAGGGCAGTGTGCTGGGTGGGGGGCTGGTTTTCAGAACAAAGTTGGAGTAGGAGAGCCAGTGGGTGCTTTGCTGCCTCCTGCTGGACAAAGTAGGAACAGTGCCCTTAGAGATGTGAACTCCCTTGAGGAGAAATAAGAGGAGAGGCAGGGGTCAGGCCCCCCTCCTTGTCCTCATACTTGGTCTCCAGCACATAGCAACCACATTCTACTCTTCTCCCTGAAGTCAGGGTCCCTATGTTTGGGTCTCTCTCCAGCCAGGTAGGCTCTGCCTCGCCCCAGGTTTCTCAAATCCTCCACCCAGAACATTTCTAAAGGTCTTTTTTGTCAATAAGCATGATCATGGGAACATCAAGGCAGTTCCTGACCAATAAAATCATCCCCACAGTATTTATGCTCATTAGCAGATGAAACGGGCTTCCGAGGGGGCTTTTATAGACTACTAGATGTAGGCGGCTGTGTTCGTCAGGAGGAAAGATAAATGTAAGGATCAACAAAACCAAGGGAAATAGAAAATAGCAGAAAGGCAGAAATTTAATTGTAACAAAATTTGATAAATCAAGCCAAAGACTGGTTATTTGCAAAAACAAAATTTGGTTAGTCAATGGAAATTTCACTTTAGACAGAGGTACCGATATGCACATAGATACACAGAGCTATGACAAGAAACCCAACAATGTTTTGGGCCAATTAAGCGGTGGTGGGAGGGGGATAGGTGACACAGTGCTGGTGGGCAGTAGGATGATGAGGGTGAGAAAGGATATAAACAAATGTTGATTTCTTCTTCTGGACTCCAGCCGGGTGGCAGGAGAGCTGCTGGGCTCTTGTGATTATGGTCTGAGCCTATGCACACTCATGACAGTGATACAATGTGGAGGTGGCTATAGATGTTTGCCGATTGACTCACTGACTGAATCGACTCTGGAAGTAGCCGACCCTCTGACCCCAGGGGAGCGGGGAGAGAAAAGACTCTATTGACTGCTTACCAGGCTGGGGCTCGTCAGGCAGGAACCAGGCTTGGAGCAGAGCCTGTATCAGTGTTAAGCTGTAAAACCAGGCAGGTTGGTAAACTATGTTCCTGTTATGGGTCCAGGAAACTTAACATTGTCCTTTGTCTGGCTCCTCCCTTGACTCTTACTCAAGTTTCATGAATGAGTAAAAGTTTCCTCTTCCAGAAAGCCTTCGGAGCTAACTTCCTGCCCCTCCCTCAGCTGGGGTTGGTGCTTGTATTGGTCCTATTTGTTCCTGGGGCATTCTTCTATCAAAGCATTTGTCCCACTGCATTTAAAAATATATTTTATTTATTTATTCATGAGAGACACACAGAGAGGCAGAGACATAGGCAGAGGGAGAAGCAGACTCCATGCAGGGAGCCTGACAAGGGACTTGATCCCAGGACTCTGGGATCACACCCTGAGCCAATGGCAGATGCTCAACCGCTAAGCCACCCAGATGTCCCTATCCCACTGCATTTTAAATAATTCTCTTTGGTTTTTAAAATTATATATGTATATATATATATATATATATATTTAAAGATTTTATTTATTTATTTTAAAAAATATTTTATTTATTCATGAGAGAGAGAGAGAGAGAGAGAGAGAGAGACAGGCAGAGGGAGAAGCAGACTCCATGCAGGGAGCCCAATGTGGGACTCGATCCCTGAGGATCACACCCCAGGCCGAAGGTGGCGCTACACCGCTGGGCCACCGGGGCTGCCCTTCTCTTTGTTTTATGTTTTTATTATGAAGATTTTCTTTTCTTTTAAAGGATTTTATTTACTTATTCATGAGAGACAGACACACAGAGAGAGGCAGAGACATAGGCAGAGGGAGAAGCAGGTTCCACCCAGAGAGCCAGATGTGGGATTTGATCCCGGGACTCCAGGATCATGCCCTGGGTCGAAGGCAGGCACCAAACCGCTGAGCCACCCAGGGATCCCTATTATGAAGATTTTCAAACATACACAAGGGTATGGGCAGCCTGGATGGCTCAGCGGTTTAGCGCTGCCTTCAGCCCAGCGTCTGATCCTGGAGACCTGGGATCGAGTCCCACGTTGGGCTCCCTGCATGGAGCCTGCTTCTTCCTCTGCCTGTGTCTCTGCCTCTCTCTCTGTCTCTCATAAATAAATAAAATCTTAAAAAAAAAAAAACATACGCAAGGGTGGCAGTAATGGGATAACAAAGCCCAGGTACTCAACATTTTTCAATTTCAACAAATTACCAACTCATGAAAATTTGCTTCATCTATACCATGTCCTGCTCTTCCTCCTACTGGAGGAATAATTATTTCATATCATTTTTATCAGTAAATACTTCATTATATTTCTCTAAAAGATAAAGCTACTTTTAAAAATGCTATTGAAACCACAATATCATCACAACTTAAAAAACTAACAATTATTTCTTTTTTTTATTTTTATTTTTTTAATTTTTATTTATTTATGATAGTCAGAGAGAGAGAAAGAGAGAGAGGCAGAGACATAGGCAGAGGGAGAAGCAGGCTCCATGCACCGGGAGCCCGATGTGGGATTCGATCCCGGGTCTCCAGGATCGCGCCCTGGGCCAAAGGCAGGCGCCAAACCACTGCGCCACCCAGGGATCCCCAACAATTATTTCTTAATGTCATCAAATATCCAAAGTTTATGTTTCTCTCATCATCCTACTATGTTTTGATGGTTGTTTTTCTTGACTGTCTCCCTCACTGGACTTGACGAGGGACTTGGGCTGCCCCTGGGGGTGCTTCAGCCCTTGTCCATCACTGCCCATGTCTTCACCTGCACACAGGAAGACAGTCACTGCTCTGTAGATGAACAAAGTGACTGAGAGGGATGAGCATCCTTCCTCTAGAACATAATAAACTGTTCTTAGCCTGGAGACTGATCAGGCCCAGCCAAGCACTCACAGCCCCCACCTCAACTCACCTGGGGCACCTTTCCAAAATCCACATGCAGTCCCTGCTCTCCACCTCCAGCTTTTCAGCCAGAATCTCTAAGGATGGGGCCAAGGGACAAGAATTTGGGGAAACTGCCTCGGGTACATTTGATGTATTGCCCTTCCTGAGCCCCGAGTGGCCCCACCAAGATGGGAGCTTATCTAGCACCTGATGCCTTCACCCTGCACTGCTCTGAGAAGAGAAAGCCCTGAGGTAGACGACTGGGCCCAGATCTAGCCTCTGAGAAAGAAAGGTCAATATCAATTGTCAGGAAGGCCTTGACACCAGATCTATTTTGTGAGAGTCATCAAAATAGCCAATAGCATTGTCAAAGGAAGAAATGGGGATGGCCCTTTGCTGGATTATCCAGGGACCATCTCCTCAGAGAGGCTTTCCCTCACTCCCCAGCCTCCTCCTCCTGGGCAGTAGTATGTGACTCTCAGAGCTCCTAGGACTGTTTACCCTGTGCCAACCACAAGTGAGCCCAGGGCTAGCCTGATACCAGTAGAGACATCAGTGCCCATCTGTGAAAGAAGCTGGCACAGCCCCGTCATCTGCAGAGTGGCCTCCCCCCATGCAACTGAACCCCCAGACTGAATGTTGGTGTTGAAGGCCAAAGGCTGTCAAGATGACAACATATGGTTTCCATCAGCTGCTGGGAGGACTTCGTCACGGCTCATCCTGGGCAGAATGGCTTGTGTGAACCAAGACTGCAAACCCCAACAACTTCTTTATCCTCCTACTGCCACAGGCCAGCTCAGTTTGTACACTGAGGCCTCGAAGATAATTCAGCCTGTACCCCTTTCCCAGATGGGCAAGTGTGTGTTAAAGAGTCCCTCCAGAGGGAAGGCAGGGGCAAGCGGACACCTGTGTGTCCTCGCATCTTCACAAAAGGGAAGTCTTCACCCTGGCCTCATGCTGATGAGACCAGGCGTAGGCACAGGCCTGACAACACAGGGCGGAAGGGAACAGCCATTAGCACTAATGAGACAGGCAGCCTGAAAGCTTTTTACTTTGAAGCTGCTCGCCCACCCAGGGAACAGTCCGTTCTGCCTCCCTGGCTTCCAGGAACCCCAGGCGGAAAAGGGTTTGGGAGGAGCAGGGTGGGGGTTTGGAGAAGCCTGGAGGGACGAAGGGGAGGGGGAAAGGACCAGGGATGGAAGCAAGAGGGCTTGGTTTTGGTTAAGTGGACTTCTCCCCTCCTTTTTCCCTCAAAAAAACCCCCAAGGGTCTAGGTCTGCACCCAACTCTGGCCACTGGCCTATCACCCTCTTCAATGCCCTTGACCAAAGTTCCTGGAAGCAAAGGAAACAACATGCCACACAGGGTCTGAGTGAGCTTCTCCGGGACCATAAATTAAATTAAGATCTCAGGGCTGTCTGCCTTGTTATAGCTAATGGCTCCAGCCTATCCAACCTCCCCACCCCTACCCAAGTTCCTGTCCTGCAGAAATTTGGGGGTTCTCAGCACCCTATCTTGTTCCCAAACTTTGACTGGCACCTGGGGACCTCACTCAAAATTGAAGATGGGCACACCTCTTATAGAGCATCCAAAAGCCCAGGTTGCAGGGAAAGAGGCCTGAGCTGTGCCCCCACACTCTGGGGAGGGCCCCTTATGCCCTGGCTGCAGGCAGCAGTCACGTGTGGGGCGTTCATTAGACCCTGCCATATAAGCTGAGGGTGCGGAGTGGCCAGAAACTCTCCAGGCAAGGATCCAGCAAGCAGAGGTAAGTCCTCAGATTAGACAAAGACTCCTGACCTCGGGGAGGTCTCTGTCTGGGGTAGGGCACCTAGAGGGTGCATTAAGGATGAGAAGGGACTGAGTGGTGGGTCTTACTGCTGGCCAGGTCATGCTGCCTGCAGTGCTGCTGAGCTGTGCCCTGCTTCTGGCACTGCCGCCCATGCAGGGGGCCCAGATTGGCTTGGTCCCCCTGGAAGGCATCAGAAGACCTGACCAGGCCCTGTTCCCAGAGCTCCCAGGTCAGTATGGGCAGGGGTGGAACTAACTGGAGCCTTGATACTCTCTGGCCACAAAGTATCCTGCTTGGTATGCGCCCTCCTTCCTCCTTCCCAATCCCAGGCCTTGGAGGTGGGTGCTTTGTGGAGGGGCAGGGGCCGGGGAGGGGAGGGGTGGTTCTGCTTTCACATCATCTGTTCCAGGCCTGGGCCTGCAGTCCTCCCTGAAAAGGGCAACTGCAGAACAGTCTGAAGAAGCTCTGCTGCAGGAGGCAGAGGCCTTGGCAGAGGTAACTGCTCAGGAAAAGGGGGGAGGCCACAGGCCTCGGGAGGGGACATCAGGCATCGCCCCCTCTCTCCACCTCATAACCTCCTCAGCCCGGGTGATACTGCAGACTACTCCACACTCCACTGCCATTCTGCCTGGATCGAGCCAGGTGGCATCCCTGGACCTGCCTTCAGGGGCCCATGCCTGCAATCCTGCTCCCCCACTTCTGTAGGTACTAGATCCAGAGGGTCGCGAGCCACGCTCCCCGCGTCGCTGCGTACGGCTGCATGAATCCTGTCTGGGACACCAGGTGCCGTGTTGCGACCCATGTGCCACGTGCTACTGCCGTTTCTTCAACGCCTTCTGCTACTGCCGCAAGCTGGGTACTGCCACGAACCCCTGCAGCCGTACCTAGTGGGCCAGCGTTGGGGTCGGGGCTGTACACGGGGTAGCGAATAAAGGCTGGGACCAACCCCAAGGCTGTGGCGTTATTTCGAAAGCGGCTGTCGGAGGTGGGAGGTCATGGAGGTCACCGCACGGATGCGGGCTGGAGCCAAGACATCACACACACACACCTACCCCAGGGTCTAGGCTACCCCGTCATCTGAATCACTTACATGCACGCTCTCACAGTGCCAGGCGCCGCTGGGGAGGCAGAAGGGTCAGGCTCCAGCCCTCCAGAATCTTGTACAAGAGACGCGGCTGCAGCGCGCAGGGCACGTAGGGGCTGTGAGTCCTGGCGGGCCGGCACATCAGGCTCCAGGCCTGCTTGCAGCTAAGGGGACCTGTGACCTCAGCGAAATCTGCCCCCCGAACTGTAGTTCCCTTCGGGAGAAGACTGCCTCAACAGTCTGGAATATTTCCAAGCATATTCGCATCTTTACTGGGCCTGCCCCTCGGTGCCAGGTGCACCAGACTGGGGGGCTGGGGGGGGGGGGGAGCCAGAGGGCCCAAGGGAATCGCCGCGGCCACGTGCGCCACCACGCGGCCGGCCTCAGACACGCCACATTGCTCAAGCCCTTTAGTGAGAGGCTCGCCTACCGCAGTCGCGCAGGCGCCAGAGGGCCCACGCCTGCGCAGTGCTTTCACGCGAAACCACCCGGAAGCCTGGCGCCCCGCAGGGCCCCGCCCTCTCGTGGTCACGTGAGGCGCTCGCGCGTCACCTGACCCGCTTGACAGCCCGCTGCTGGCGCCGAGTCAGCTGATCTTGGAAGCGAGCTGTCCGCCGGCCGATCGGGGTTCTCCGGTCTCGCCACCCCCGCCGCAGCCATGTCGTTCTTCCCGGAGCTTTACTTCAACGTGGACAATGGCTACTTGGAGGGACTGGTGCGCGGCCTGAAGGCCGGGGTGCTCAGCCAGGCGGACTACCTCAACCTGGTGCAGTGCGAGACACTCGAGGGTGAGCCGCGGGGCCGGGCGGCTGGGCCTTGAAAGGCCGGCAAGGACGCTGGCCCGGGCCTGAGGGTTCCGCGATCTGGGCGGGGAAGCCGGAGGCGGGGGTTCCTGAAGGGCCTGAGAGGACTCGCTGGGAATCCAGGGGCCGATGGCGGGCGCCCCGGAAGGGAATCTCCCTGCGCTTGCGACTCGGCACGGGCCCAGACGCAACCAAGGCTTTAAGAACCGCGGTGGTTAGCCTCTGCTGGGGCCGCCTCTTCCCGCCCGTATGCCTGCCGTGTAGTTTATAAAGAGGGTGTCTCGAGAGTGGTTGATCGGTGGTGCAAGAGGCGCCCATACAAACCTCTTTACCCTGACGTAGCCAAAGAGTGGCCCAGTGGCAACTCTTACGGAATCTAAGCGCCCCCCCCCCCCACTTTCCGCCTAATATACACCAAGGCATTTGGGATCACTGTCTTAGTCTTGCCTTGCGGGGTGAGCCTTCCTGGAGAATTGCTGAGCCAGCCTAGTGAGAGAGTTTCCTCCCATCGCTGACCCACTGGCTGAGCAGTCTCCCGAAGGCAGTGATTCGGAGAGCGAGAGGTGGCCCTCCAAGTTTGGAAGTTCCTACACTTGTATTTGGCTAATAAATCCCACCTCCTCAGCGAGAAGGTTGCCTGTTGTAACAGGATTAAAAAAAAAAAAAAGCTCAAGAATGATGAGAAGCTAAGTTCCCCTTTCTTCAGCTCCAAACTGGGATTGACCCCTTTAGGCACAGCTGCATCAGATATACTGAATTAGAGATGTCCCCGAGTCCCCACTTCCCCTGTTGATAGTGAAGGGCATTGTGGCTGGGATGTAAGTTCCCATTTCTGACCCTCAAGAGCAAAAGTACTGCTGGCTCCATGGTTGGTAGTTGGAAGGGGGAGATGATTTGCTCTCTGAAGGAAATTTTCTCATCAAAAACTTACTGAGGTTAAAAGAGGATTCAATTTTTAAAAATCAGTTATTGTTTATCTTGCAAACTAGACCAGTAAAGTGAAAATAAATACTTAAGAAATTTAAAACTTACTGAAGTTAAAATGCAATAATTTTGGGCACTGATTTTAACATAAACATAGGAGAAAAGCTGTTTGCCTTGTGAGAGTGGAGATGGGAAGGAGAGGAGAGGAGAGCACTTTATGGTGCTGCTTTATAGGAGCCTGCCAGCAACCCTATTATCCTCACTGAGAGGGAGGCTGCCTGGGGCAGGGCCTGGCACACAGTTGGCATTCATTATGAGTTTTGTGGACTGACTGGGACTGGAGATCTTTCTTTGCTTAAATCTGAAGCCGAATACCATTTATGACCAACTGGCATTTGGTAAAGTTGTGTTTCTCTTCTAGGTTTTCCTCACTCATGGTGCTGTCTGTCCTTCCTCCTCCTGTAGAGCTTCTGGGGGCACTAGGTTCCCATCTTCCCAGCAGCCTCTCCACTATTATCTTCCATAAATATCTACCCTGCAATGCTGCTCAGCACATGGCCTGCCTTGTGGTACCCCTTTTAGACCTTTAGGGTCACATTCAAGGATTCCCTAGCTCTTCGACATGTGCTCCTTTCCCTTACCCAAGCCATCCTCCTCAACTCTTGGTACACATAGTGTGGTGGATCCTGGGGTTGGACAAATCTGAGTTTTAATCCTGGCCCTGCCAATTCCTGGATTACCCTGGACGAGTTATTTAACACCTCTGGCCTTGGATTCTTCATCTAGTATATTATCACTTATTTCACAAGGTTGTAGGATGTCAGCCAGCTTTTACATACAAACACTTAGTCTAGCAACAAACACAGAGTATGTTCTAGGTAAGTGTTAGCTCTTGCTTTCACTACATTGCATCTGCCATTGCCTCTGTATCCTTCTTATCCCCATGAAGCCTAGTGATTCCCACCCTTCAAGGCCCAGCCCCAGTAGTACCCCATCTTAGAACCCCCTTGTGATCATCCTAGGCTAGAATGTTGTTCCCTCTACCCAATTACAGCTCCTGTGGTTGTCTGTGCTATTTTACTAGAAGTTTCTTTTAAAAAAAAGATTTTATTTATTTATTCATGAGAGACACACAGAGGGAGGCAGAGACATAGGCAGAGGGAGAAGCAGGGTCCCTGCAAGGACCCCGATGTGGGACTTGATCTCAGATCCCGGGATCACGCCCTGAACCAAAGGCAGACGCTCAACCGCTGAGCCACCCAGGCATCCCTTCCTAGAATTTTCTTGGCATAGAGTTTGGGATTCTTGGGATCCTATTTGCTGGAGATGCTTAAGACTTGAAGGGTCTGGGGATAACCAGAAGCAGAAGGATGACCAGAAACCCCATTATCTTCTATAGAAAGTCCTTCTGCTTCTGCAAGTGATACCAGAGGCCTCTGTTGTTGGGTGTTTTTGCCTCTCTATCTCCAGAGGAAAGGAGAGAGGGGAGGGGAGATCAAGAAAGCCTTTGGTGGGGATCTCTGGGTGGCGCAGCAGTTTAGCGCCTGCCTTTGGCCCAGGGCACGATCCTGGAGACCCGGGATCGAATCCCACGTCGGGCTCCCGGTGCATGGAGCCTGCTTCTCCCTATACCTGTGTCTCTGCCTCTCTCTCTCTCTCTCTGTGTGACTATCATAAATTAAAAAAAAATAAATAAAGCCTTTGGTGCCTAGTAAGATCTGTAGACATGTCCTGAAGTGACAAGATTTCCAAAGAACATGTTTCAGGTGTCGTATAGTTCCCAGAAGGCCCAGGGCATTAGGCAGTGTGTGGTGTTCTGCAAGGAAGGACAAACGCATACCCTCCCCCACGCCCTGGACCTTTCTCCCTGAATTCCACCCCAGCAGGGCATCTGCCACTGACCTCTTCTGCTAAACACAGTCTTTTGAGACCTCTGAAGCTCAGAAGTTGTCTCTATTTTCCATCTTGTTTGATTGTCTATACTCAGAGGTAGGAGAAAAAACCTGGAGAGGTCCTACCCTTTGATTAACTGAGGGGACAGAGCTAAGTGGTCACAAAAGCACTTTTTATTTATTTTTATTTTTAAAAATATTTTATTTTTTGAGAGAGAACACAGCAGAGGGAGTGGGAGAGGGAGAAGCAGACTGCCTGCTGAGCGGGGTGTCCAATTCAGGGCTCAATCCCAGGATCCTGGGACCATGACCTGAGCTGATGGCAGCTGCTTAGCTGACTACTAAGCTACCCAACTGAGCTACCCAAGTGCCACATCACAGAAGCACTTTTTAACACTGTGTGTTTGTGGATAGATATGTGGAGTACCTTCTGGGGGCTGAGTCTTGTGCTGGAAATTGTGGGGAAGACCAGGTAAGCTAGAGATAAAGAGAAATCATGCAGTGTTACTCTGAATGTTTTCATTCATTCAGCGTATACTTATGGAGCACCTATTTTATGCCAGGTGCCACGATAGGGGCTGAGATGTTTTGTTGAGTATGTTCTCTTGACCCTCATAGTCTGGCAGTGGAGGTCAGTGTGGGCAGGGGGAAGACATGAAGAGATAAGTGTAGCATAGAGGTTACGAACGTAGGCTTGCTACTTCATGGCTCTATGGCCATGTAACCTCTTTGTCCAGAGTTTTGTTGTTTTTAAAATGGTAATAATAATGGCACCTACCTCATGGGCTGGTTATGAAGTTTAAACAGGATAATTCATGAAAGCACTTTGCATGAATTTGGCACATGGCAAGTGTTGAGTCGGTGTTAGCTGCTGTTATTTTATTTTTTTAAGTTTATTTTATTTTATTTTTAGATTTTATTTATCCATTCATGAGAGACAGAGAGAGACAGAGAGACGGGCAGAGAGAGAAGCAGGCTCCCTCCAGGGAGCCTGATACAAAACTCCATCCCAGGACCCTGAGATCATGACCTGAACCAAAGGCAGATGTTCAACTGCTGAGCCCCCCAGGTGTCCCTTTGAGTTTTATTTATTTAAGTAATCTCTACACCCCATGTGGGTTTTGAACCCCAAGATCAAGAGTCACATACTCTTCTGACTGAGCCAGCCAGGTGCCTCATTACTGTTATTTTATGAAGTAGACTAAATATGTAATTTAATATTAAGGATAATACCGGTGAAAGTGACAGTGAAGTGACAGAGAATCACAGGGGAACTTTATTTAGAGTGTGTGGTGGGTTAAGGTCCTGCTGAGGAAAGGATATTTGAGCTGAGATGTGAACAGTGAGGAGGAGCCAGCCATGCAGAGAGCTGGGGCCGGGAGAGCATTTCAGGCAGAGAGACCAGCACATGAAGGCAGAAATAGCTGGTCCAGTCAGGGGGACCAAAAGGAACCCTGGGACGGGAATACAAATCTTCTGGGAACCCATACCCTTATTTTGAAAAAAACAGGCAGAGCCCAGGGAAAGAAATCCCTGGCTCCTTAGCACATAATATGGGGGCAG